CGAAGAAAGCCAGTGTCTAATCGAATTGAGAATCAAAGCAGACTTGCTCTTCTTCAACCCAATCGAAGGGCATATTATCATCTTCATTTTCCTTTTCCTTCGACCAATCGAAGTAACAACTTGTCATCTTCAAAAAATTCATTTTTCTTTATTTCTTTAAACAGGTGTTTGTAACCACCTATACGAGAGGAATCTTGAAAAATGAGAGAGCAAATTTTGGGGTACAACAAAGTGCCTTTCGATTGAGTCACTTTTCTGCATCCTTTGAAGGATCCAAAAGTGTGGCCCTTGGATGGGTCACCAAAACATGCCTTAAAGTGGGCTTTGTAATTCCTTCGAATGGACCAACAAGTATGTCCTTCAAATGGGATACCTAGAGGTGGATTCAAAAGATGGTGATTTGAATGGGACACAGTTACAAACGAAACCTTGTGAAGGTGGTTCTGTTCAGTCAAAGGCTTGCCTGCCCCAAGGTCCATGTGACCAAACGAAGGAGTGTACATAGGGGGTCCCTGCTTTGTGAGTTCATGTAAACATGCAAAAGATCGTTGTTCAAACGAAAGCTTGCATGAAGGGAAACATATGCCCAAACGAAATGTGTGACCAAATGCTTGTACTGAAGGATTCATGTGCCCAAACGAAATAAAGCATGAAGGGAGTCAAATGCCCAAATGAAGCTTGCAACAAAGGAACCACATGCCCAAATGAAAGGTGCATGCATGAGGCCAAAATGTCTAGATTCGAAAGAGGCATATATGAGGCAAAAAGTGCAAATCGAAGGATACCAAAAGGGAGCCTTTTGCCTTGGAATCAAAGGAGGCTACAGGAGGCTTTGTGCCTTGTGAATCCAAGCCAGCGTTCCAGAGGCCCACGCCCAGTCGAAGGATGCAAGTCAAGCTTGCATCGAAAGAGGCCAAAAGGCCAATCGAAGGAGCTGAATCGAAAAACACTTGTTTTTCTCCAAATTTGTCAAAATATTATTTTTATCTGTTTTCTCCCTTTTTTGACAGTTTCCTTTAAATCTTGGTACTGAAAATCCCAATGTACTTGTGCAAGCTTGAACCTTGAGAATCCTTGTGAGAAATGCCTTGAAAAATGAGAGGGCAAATTTTGGGGTACAACAAGCGCCAATGTTCTTGTATAGAATAAATATCCAGCCGACTTCCCAGGAGATTGCTAGAAAGAGTCTATCAGAGTGAGTTTATGGGATGATCGGGGGATTTAAGAGCTACGACAGTGACGTGTGTGTCCCAAGATGAATGTATTACTTATCCCTATGTCGGAAGCCCCTTTATATAGTGTGTATCTCGTCATCAAAAACCTCAGTTAATGAGTGACTCTTGAGTTCCATAACTCTTATAACCTCAGTCGTCCCCATGAATGGAGGAATCAAGGTTGTGCAACGCTGTAATGATTGCGCCGCCAGAGGTTACAAGCATTAATGAGCCGAGATGGTGACTGGTCACGGGCATGTGCTTTCCAGCTACCTACCCTATCCGGGTCGAGGATGAAGACGAGTGGCTACCCAGGTCAATGGGTCTTCTGATATTCCCTTAACTGAGTTGCATCCCGGATGCCCTCGCCCTGAGCCGACTATTGGTTTAACCTTTTTCCTTGTCGATTACACTACCTGATCGAACCTGTTATTTTCGAAATGTACAATATTTAATAATTATTATTATTTACAATATTTATTATTTGATTTGTTAATTTAAAAACCACATGTAACATAATAGAAGACTTAATATCTAAGTTTTTTTTAGAATTCGACATTGTTTTTAATTATAATTTTTTAAATAATGAAAATGGTGTTTAGATAAGTTAATTTTATCATCAATTGAAAATAAAATGTTTAATAAAATTGATTATAATAATTTAAGAGTTTAAACGTAATGCACAACAAATAGTGTAATTCCATAATTCACATACAACCAATCAAAATCTTTATACTTGTTATGTCATATAAGTATTTTAAAAATAAAATTGTATTTTACATTGTCAGTGCATTTTTTTTTCCTCATAATTTAATAATTTTACCTTCTAAAAAATTAAAATATACTACATCGTTCGTTCAAAAATAATTGTCATAGTTAGTCATTTGACACGGATTAAGAAAATGTGACTAATGAAAAAGAGAAAATAATATTTTTACTAAATTATCCTCGTTTATTATTGGTGTATTCGAATTATCATAAATATAAGAGAAGTGATTGTTCCCCTAAAATACAAATTCAGGGAAATCCTAGCCACTTAAAATTATCAAATTTAAGAAAAGAAAAAAATTTAATGGCAAAGATGTTGACTGCTCCCTCTCCGGTAAAAATCACACTAGAGAGAATCACTTCCCAAAATGTAAAGTAAAAGAATAATATTAGAGGATTGAATTGAAAAAAAAATTTATAATTGTATTGGAAACTAAAAACAATAATTATTTTATGACAAATAATTTAATCAAAATGCAACACTTATTTTAACTGAGGAATTACAAAAAAAATATAATTTATTAAAAATTAACTTTAAATTTCGTTTCTCGGCTTCCCACATCGAAAGAGAGAGAAATTAAATTGTCACCCCTCATATTATACATGACACCTCTTAAATGGTATAAAAAAAATTAAATTGTTCGGACCTAAATCATTCACCACATATTTCAAATTCAAGTAAACAATCATATTTTTCAAACTTTTGGACGATACCGAAAATTTCGTAGGCGATACTGAAAATTTTGTGAAATAGTGTGTAATTTAGGGTATTTTTATGAAATCTCTAGTACTTTGTATCGGAAATTTCAAAATATCTGATATTTCCGTATCAGAAATTTCGAAATAATCGATATTTTCATTTATCATTTATATCGGAAATTTCAAAATTTCTGGTGCGTCACATAATATCGGAAAATTTTAAAATTTCCGGTAATTCAATTTTTTTTTTTGAAAAATTATCGGAAATTTATAAATTTTCAATATTTTATATTTTTCTGATATTTTCTAATTTTGCAGTGAGTACCAGAGACAAAGATGGTTCTATTATGGGACGAACCACTGATAGAGTTGATGCTGAAGCCTGTGTTGACGAGACACATGCTTCAGAGCTACGAGCTGGAAGTCATCCTTTGACGGATTCTCATCGGAAACAAATGGCTGAGCAGAATGTGAAGTTCTTCAACTCGATTAGGTTGTATTTCACCCTTTCATTTGTATCAATCCAATCCTCCTAAAACTCTACCTTTGTCACCCTTCTATTATCGGAATCAGGCAACAAATTATTCAACGTTTCTCTCAATCTGACAAAGGATTTAGAGCCATCAGGAAGCTTGAATTCAACAGGAGGGTTGTTGTCGTTGTAATATACCTCTGCCTTAATCAGAAATTAAGGAAGAAACAATTTTTTGAGATGTATTTTCTATATAACAAATGTCATTGTTTATATAAATGGTGATGCATTATAGATCACACAAATGTGTCGCTGCAATCAAAATCATTCAAATATGTCTGCAAAATCTCAACCGTTCAAAAAACTATGTTTTTAATACTATCAGAAATTTCAAATTAATTGAAATTTCTGATACACCGAAAATTGTAAATTACATTACCAGAAATTTAAGTTATCCGATATTTTATAAGGATGTACCAAAAATTTAGAGAGTACCGAAAATTCAATCTTTTTATCGAAAATTTTATTTAGAAATTATGTTCAACTCATCTAAAAATAAAGTAAAATAAAAAAAATTAGAAACTTCATATATAATTTTTGAGGTGGCATGTTAAATTCTCCTGGATCATCAACTTTATGACTATTTATTGTTGTTTGAACGGTAGCTTAGTTGACGCATTATGTTTCTTGTTCTCGCCCTACTAGCCATTGTTGATGTGTCGAGCAAGTCTTGCCTTTTGAGTGACCTGTGTTTTTGTTTTGGATTGTGTTTATGATGAACTGGTAGATTGGTCCTGGGTTCGGTCTAAAGTTAATATTTTATCTAATTTATGTTTTTTTTTGGTACATTATTAGTTCATGTTTTCATGCTAATTTTCTTTTATAAAAAAAGAGAGGAAAACAGAAACACCCACATTATTTTTGTTATAATTGTTTTTTCATTCTTTCAAAATCATGCCTAGTCAGCAAACACCCTAGTTGCAATTAATTTATATTTAATTTAGTTATAATTTAATGGCACCAATCACTCTCAGCCCAAAGAATAATAAAAAAGTGTAAATATAAATAAACTAATACCAAAAGAAATATTTATATAAAAAAAGTTTAAAACAGTCCTAATCCAATGTGCATACCCCATCAAAACCGACGGCAATCGCCAAAATGTCAAATTTCAACAACTTATAATATTCCAAATTAACTCTTCAATCAATAATAATATTTGATTCCACAAAAAAAAGATAAATATACCATAATTAATTAAAAATCAAAACAATTAAAATCTTTTTATTAATTTATTAAATTACAATCATAGTAAATTAATAACTCTTCAGAAAAAATAAAATATATGAAACTGATATATTTTACCATATTATACCTTTATTTTAAAATTTATTAGTAATTTCAATGATGTATATTTTACCACATCATAATTTTATTTTAAAATTTATTAATAACCTTAGATTATTATATTTTATTGAATGATATATATATTATCACATCACAATTTTATTTTAAAATTTATTAGTAATCTAAGATTGTTATATTTTTATTAAACGATAATATAAAATTATTTTATCTATCTAATCACAAAAAAAAAAATCCTTTATCATCCAAAAATACAAAATTCATTCATTCTTTGAATCGTTTTCCTATTTTGGTGGGAATAAAATCTATTTTATTAATTTTTAAAATTAATGGATAAAATAATAAATACCTTAATTACTAATTCTAATATTCTTATCTTTCTACCACCAACTCCTTCTATATAATCACCACTAAACCAATTCTTCATTCTCTCTCCATAAATTCTCTGAAATATCAAAAACCTTTCTCTCTCTCAAGTTCCAATGGCGTCAAACAATGTCCTCTCACCCACCGGCACCGGCCTCATCGTAAGCTTCGGCGAGATGCTGATCGACTTCGTGCCTACAGTTTCCGGCGTATCACTCGCCGAAGCACCAGGCTTCCTCAAAGCCCCCGGCGGTGCACCTGCTAACGTAGCCATCGCCGTGAACCGACTCGGCGGCAAAGCCGCCTTCGTGGGTAAACTCGGAGACGACGAATTCGGTCACATGCTCGCCGGGATCTTGAAGGAAAACGGTGTCAAAACCGACGGTATTACTTTCGATCAAGGCGCGAGAACCGCTTTGGCTTTTGTTACTCTACGCGCCGATGGAGAGCGTGAGTTTATGTTTTATAGGAATCCAAGTGCTGACATGCTTCTTAAACCTGAAGAACTCAACCTCGAACTCATCAGATCTGTACGTTGCTTTCTCCATCTTTTGTTTTTTTTCTTTGTTTTGTCTAAAGCCATTTTGTTACGGAATTTGTTTTTGTTTTTCTTTCGTATTTGGGGTTGTCTTGTTTGTAATTGTGTTCCACGCGCGGGGGAGGACACGTGGGTTTTGAGATAAAGGACATTGACGCTTCAGCTTCTGTTTGGTCATGTGGTGTGGGACCATTTGTTAGATCTAACATAGTGTACTCTTACGTTATGTAGCAATTTTCTATGCGAACTTTCAAATTACGTTAAATCCTATGATTTTGTTTTATTTTGTTTTGGTTGGTGTGGTTACACATGAGCGATTTTGTGGTTGGAACTCGGAACCCGCTATATTAATGATGCATAAATTTTGATTAGTGAAACTAATGAATCTTAATTTGTTGTTAGGCGAAAGTGTTCCACTATGGATCCATTAGTTTGATTGTGGAGCCATGCAGATCAGCGCATTTGAAGGCATTGGAAGTTGCCAAAGATGCTGGCTGTCTTCTTTCCTATGATCCCAACCTCCGACTACCATTGTGGCCTTCGGCTGATGAAGCTCGCACTCAAATATTGAGTATATGGGAAAAGGCTGATTTGATTAAGGTTAGTGATAATGAGCTGGAGTTTTTGACTGGAAGTGACAAGATTGATGATGAGACTGCCTTGACATTGTGGCACCCTAATTTGAAGTTGCTCCTTGTCACCCTTGGCGAACATGGTGCAAAGTATTACACTAAGGTAAAATCTATCTTTATACTAGTGACGATGACAATGATGTAGTGATGTTATAGAAGGTGATTAGTTTGAACTAATGTGGTTAGTTTACTTTTGCAGAATTTCCATGGAACAGTAGATGCATTCCATGTGAATACAGTTGATACAACTGGTGCTGGTGATTCCTTTGTTGGTGCTTTATTGGCTAAGATTGTTGATGATCAGTCTATACTAGAAGTGAGTGCTTATAGCTACTGCGATGGAAATTACTAAGATCTGTTTGAGTTTTATAATTGACTATTGATTGATTGATTTTTATGAACTACTTGCAGGATGAACCAAGGTTAAGAGAAGTGCTTAAGTTTGCGAATGCTTGTGGAGCAATCACGACGACTAAAAAGGGAGCAATTCCTGCTCTTCCCAAGGAGGAGGATGCACTGAAATTGATCAATGCTGCATAGATTTGTTGAGCATATTTCGTTTTCTTCCCATCTTGTTTAGCTTTTTTGTTGAAGGTGCTCTTGATCAAATTAAGAGGGAGTTTGTCTCTAATTTTGTTTGTTTTTTTCTTTATGAATTGATGGCAAAATCATATGATTAGTTTGGCCAAATAATGTTATTGAATTTTGATATGAGCTGTTGAATGAAAATTTGATTCACGCGTGTTGCTGCATCTTATAATCTGTTATGTCTCTATTCACTTTTGTTGTGTATTGTTGGGTTTTATTTCTAATTCTTAGACAGAAAGAATTAGTCCCAACAAATACATGCTAGTTGTTACTAGCAGCAAAATGCATTTCTATTTCCTTGCCAGTGGATACTTAGTTGTTAAAAATAAACTCTTATAATATATATTTGTCTCAAAAAGATTTACTTTATATTTTCGATGACTTTTTAATTACTTATTTATCAATTCTAACATCAAATCAAATTAATTTTATGTGGGTACTCTTATCACTTTCAAATAAGTTTTACATATTTAAAAGTTATTTTTCAAAAAACCTATTTTGAAAAAACAGAAGTAATTTTGAAAATAAAATAATAAAAGTTCCACCATGGTCACTAATTTTTACAATTATTTTAATTTTAGTTTTATTGACAAATATTTAATACTTTAACAAATATTTAAAATTTTGATCATAGAAGAGTTTTTAGTTTTTAAATGCTATTTTAGTAAAATGACACTCACCAAGTATGTATAATTGATTTTTTTTATGTTATAAGATTAATTTTAATTTTTAACCACATATATAATCTTTCTATATGTATATGATGTTGATTTTATTTAGATAATTATTTTTAAAATAGAATAAAATGACTCATTATAATTTGAATTTTAAACTATATTCCACTTGGTTCGATACATTATCTGCCCAAATAATATAAACACAAAATTGGTAACAAGATGCTAATATTATTTCATTTATTTCCTTGACATGTTTTTTAATGTCTAAAATGATTAAAATTGAATGGAATGTACAATAAATTGTAACAGTCAGATTTTAAATCATGTTTGACTTTTATTTTAATTATATATAAAACAATAATATATTGTGATTGATTGCAAATTTTTTTTTACACTAATAATATATAACTATTAATCTCAAATAATTAAGTGCAATAAATATTGTAAAATAGAAAGAATATACAATATCTTTCAGCATTCATTCTAATTGTTGGATTGGAAGAATATTTGTGATATCTGGTTTTTTTAATTTAAAATTTTGTTGATATATTTTATTGATTTATAATTAGCTTATTATTTAAAGCATACTAGAACTAATTTTATAAAAAATAATAGGAATTTTTTTATATGCCTAATTTATATTTATTTTTTCAATTAGAAAACTATTTTATGCCAACTAAGGAGGCATAATAAGGCCTTTGCATTTTAGATTTTATGTTAAGATATATATTTTAAAAAACTTCTATTAAATTCTTATGTTTTTGCTTAATTACTATTAAATTGTTAAATTTAAAAGACAAGCTTGATTTTTTAATTTCATAATTCAAATTAATTTGCTAAATTGACTTTCGTCAAATTGAATTGAGTTGCCTCGAAATTTTATTAAAAATGATTCTCATCGAATTTAAGTCGCACTAAATTAAATTTGACTAGATTAGACTAATTTCAAATCCTATTTAAGATAACGTGAAGTGGTTTTGGTGCCCATTTTCAAGACAACTGTTTAATTATCTTTTAGTATGTTTTCTGTTGAGCTTTTAGCCAAATAAACGTGCATGTGTAACACTTTCTGAGGCAAATTAACGTGAAAACTCTATTTTGGTTCAAAACAACAAACAGAGGAATTATTTTGGTTCAAAACTCTATAAATTCTACATTGTATAAATGGTCCATGTGGGAAGTATCAACATAATTATTTTCAAAAGAAATGAAAGTTGTTTTCTCAAAAGTATTTCCATTTATTTAAGAGTACATTCAGATATTGAAGCACCTTATGCACTTTTGGGGAATCATGTTCTTTTATGCCTAGAAGCCGTGGACAACTATAACACAATTGCTTGAGGATTACATTCAATGACCTCCATCTTTAGAGACTTCCAAACATTAGGACATCTTTCCCATTTTGCTTGCATTTGAGCTAAAAAAGCTTCAGCCCATTGTTCTTTACTCCCTCTTGTGCTTAAATCATAAGGCACTGAAAAACTGTTCAAACATGATTAGAATATCAGCAATATGCTCATTCACTGAATAATTCGATTACAGGTAGTTAGTTTTTCGTGTAATTGGTCTAGAGGGAGTAGCTACTTATCACCTCCTTCAACATTTTATTATCAACTTTTGCATGCCTCTTAATCATATTATGGATAAGTTATGCCAATATTTCAAAAAGGAACTGTATATATCAACTAAGCCGAATGTTGTGTTTCATCTGTCAAACATTCTGATTTACTAAATGATATTTACAAATTCACAAGAAGTATTCACCTCAACAATTCTTCAGCTTGATTTCCTTTCTTGAGATTACTATTTCTGCAAGAGGTCAAATTTTAATATAGTCAATTTGTATTGGTGTCTGACAAGAAAGGAAAAAATGAAAGACCGTGCCAGATATAGTGATTCCACTATAGTTGAAAAGTCAATAATATCAACTCAATTCAAGAATTAGGTTGAATAGTTATCAAATCAAGCATTATCACACTTTTTTGGTTGTTTACGTAAACACTGAAAGTGGATATCGCAGAACCTTGTTATCTCTTCCTAACCCCTTTCTTGGTCTTATTTACTACTCCCTCTATCCCAAAATAAGTGTCTCTTTACCCTAAAAAATTTGTCCCAAAATAAGTGTAGATTTACTTTTCCAATGCAACATTAATTGATTTTTACTAATTTTATCTCTAATTAATTATGTCTGCACTACTCTCAAGGCATTAAATTTCACTTTGTTTTTATGACAATGTAAAAGTAATCAATAATCATCAAGGACAATTTTGTAAATGTGTTATATTTATTCTTTCACTCGTTACTTTTCTTAATATATGTGCCACAATCTTAAAAGACTTTTATTTTGGGACGGAGGGAGTATCTTTTTTCTTACTTTGTGATTTTAAGAATTTTTTTTGGGAACAAACTACATGCTTGAGAATTGAATCCTGTTTCAGCACTAGACGAAAATATGATTGTAGGTCTGATTAAAAACAATGTTTAACTAACAGCCACTATAGATTTGGTTCAGACCTATAATTGAATTTTCATTAAATAAACTGTGGACAAAAGGCTAAGGAAAACAAACCTGCAGACAAACACTTGGAAAATGTGAAGATATTTGGTAGAAAGATTATAAACGGCATCAGCAATATGATCCTTCCCAAATAGATACACCACTGGATATCCTAGAAGCCATCTGAACAAATAAATACATAAATGAGACAGCGCACCACATATTACAAGTATAATAAGGAACAAATAGCTATGTTATTCTACAGAATCACCATTAAGGAAGCGTACGTTGATATTGACCCCCCAAAGAGATTTAAATGCTACATAAAAATACCAAATCCTTTGCACAAGCAGGTCTATAAGATTAGGTCATGACATACTAACGTCTACAACAAGTGATGGTACTAACTTACTACTACTTTCAGGGTAAATATAACATGTAGGTATAGGCAGCCTTGTTTATTCAAAACATCACATACTTTTAAAGAAACAAGTAGGAGTGTAGGACATGGGTCAAACATAAGATTGAAATCGCCGAGTCCCCAAAGAGCTGGGAATCTGGCATAGGTGAACTACTACCCACCCAGCAGGAGAAAAGTATAAGCTGTAAAATACTACTAGATGTAATCTGAGTAACATTACTTATTAGTAATTTCCACAAATTCTGATTTACATGGAACACTTTATACAGACCCAGAAAATGGAATATTAGTGGAGCAGTGTAATGTATAACAAGAGTTTTCAAGTATCTTCCACAACAAATGGGTTCAAAGCTAATCAACTCTTTCACCCCCAATAAATCTGTAATTATAGTGAAACCAATATATGAAATATAGTAAGTAAAACATAAGATGATTCTAGCTCCTCTAAAGTGAACAACTTAATTTAAAATAATACAACAACAACAACCGCAACCAAGTCTTATCCCACTAAGTAGGATCGGAAAAAACTTAACTAAAATAAATAGAAATTAACATAATCACAGTTGTTGAGCTCCTCTAAAGTGAACAACTTAATTTAAAATAATACAACAACAACCGCAACCAAGTCTTATCCCACTAAGTAGGATCGGAAAAAACTTAACTAAAATAAATAGAAATTAACATAATCACAGTTGTTGATAAAAAATATAATTGCTGCATTGGCTGCACAAGCATAACAAATCATAGATGGTATAAAATATCATCAAATGATGTTCCAGTGGTTGATTGGCATATCTCGCTTGCGTTGCCCTTTAAAATGGGAGCTCAAATTAGTGGAACCATACTTTCCATTCACATATTAGCATCATAGGATTTTTTTAAAAGTGTGTCTTGAACAAGTTTTTTCTATGGGAAGCAGGGAAGTTATATTGATTACAACAAGAAAAGCCATTGTCCATCTTAAATTTGGGCTTGAGTTTAACTGAACCTTACAAAACCGACTTATAAGATCAGTGATGATTCCATTTATAAATACACTTTCATACCATATATCATTCAACATCGTACTCTCACCACACCCTTTCACGCCCAGGACTAAACATGAGCGTGAGCCGAATGACTCGATAGCGGATAGCCCCACGGATCTTAGATAAAATCTAATATCATCTTAAGAATCAGAATTTGAGGGAAATGAGAGAAAGTTTAAGCCTCGGAGGCTGGGAGTAGAGATTTCTCATTAGCAATTATATGAACAAAGATGGTGAAATTGAGCTCTATATATATAGAGCAACTAACTACCTAACTGAATCCTAACTAATCTAACAAACTATTAACTAATATACTTCATACTACTGTA